ACACACACACACACACACACACACACACACACACACACACACACACAAACAATAGGACACTGTCCTAAACCAGCAAACAACCCGGCTCCCCTCAGCCAGCCGATGACAGCAGTAGTGCCAGTCACCCTTGTCCTTGAGTACAAGCTGACATTAGAGTCACATTATGACACGCCTAATTGGATTTTTATGTGATTCTATGCAGCCGATTGGTTTTTCATCAGCCGTTGGACGTGCTGATCGGCCTCACTCAGCTGCCACTTGAACAGATGGGATATCACTTTAATAGTACACATTTCCAAACCCCACACAAACGGTCTTTAAAGGCTGCTTCAATGACATCAACAGCCGGCAGCCGGACTGAAAGGGATATTACTTTCATCTGTCATCTGCGGATGTAGCGGCAGCGCTACCACTTACACAAGTGATAAAGCGAGTCAGGATGCGTACCAGGAGAAATATTTTTAGCTCATTGTCCCAAAACCTCCGCTGTTTGTAGCCATTTCATCATAGTGTGTGATCTCTTTCCACACTTTCAGATGAACTAATGTTCACTTTAAAATATGTTCCTTTTAAGTTGGATCCGCGCGTCCCCAGCCGTGCTTCTCTTTTGTGAGGAATTAGCATTTTCTCATGTATCCGGAGTTTTTTTGATTCACTAATTTCTCTTGCAAGCTAATTAGAGGAGGCGAGCTAGTTTGTCTTTGCTGCGGGGGGAATTAACAGTAATGGGTCGGTAACCAGAAGGCATAGAAGCTTCACTCATCACATGTGATTGATTTTCAATGAGGGCAAATTATGTTTAAAAAAAAAAAAGACCTGCTTGAGGTACCTTTTTGGGGGGAAAAGCATGTTTTTAATTCCACATTTACAGCCTCACGGCTGCTTGTCAGTCTGTTTCTTTTTGTGTTCTCTGATCGTGTCTGTCAGCCGGCATTCCTTATCCCCGCCCGTCTTTCCGACTAAAGCAGGGATGCGTTCAGCCATCCAGCTGTCCGTCACGATCAGCCGATCATTTATGTTTGGTCTCCTTTTGTTTCCGCTGCTCAATTCCGCTTTGTTTCAGTCACATCCTCTCATTCACCCATCCGTCTGTCCCGATCCGATGTTTTCATTTTTTCCGACTCATCAAGTTTCTGTTCCCTCTCCAGGTTCCTGAGTGCGCTGGCGGTGCTGGCGGAGCGCCCGGAGCTGGTGGAGCGGGTGATGATCACCAGGACGATCTGCACAGAGGGCGCCTACCAGGTGCGGTTGTGTAAAGACGGGACGTGGACGACGGTGCTGGTGGACGACATGCTGCCCTGCGACGACTACGGCTACCTCCTCTTCTCCCAGGTCAGGAAACGAGCGAGGGATGTGGGAAGCCCTGGAGGGGAGGGATCTAGGAAAGGAAGTAAGGGATGGGGAAGACAGACACTCATAGATATTCAGTGAACGAGATGCACTGTCAATGTCACGGACAGAGGAAGTGTCTTTTTGTTTGACGTATATCCTCTTTGATTAGTAAGTAGTAAGCAGGGCATTCATAGGTTCCCCTGTGCTTGTTCTGGGCACTCATAATGACCTGATTGATGGAGTCCCAGCCTTACATCGGTGTATTAACTTCTTAATGGAAGTTCAAGCTAATTTAATAGCTATGTCTCAAAGGACCCCACAGAGGAGGATCGCACCTGGAGGTCTTAATTAATCAACAGTCAATTACAGGACGAATGGTAGTATTGCGTTATGCAACAAATAAAGCACACACACATCCAGGCACACAAACAAAATGTTATGTGTGGTGGTGATATGAAAGAATAAGATAAAGCATAAATAAGACCTTTTTTTTTTTTTTTTTTTTTTAACACAGTTTTTGTTCATAAACCTTGAAACATTTGAGTCACAGCCAACAGGCCCAGAGCCAACACCTCAAAACAAGCCCCACAGCAAACACAACATCCTGTTCCAAGTGAGCAATACTCACCACTAAATATTTCCTCTTCCCCCCCCCCCTCTGTCGTTCCAGGCCCAGAGGAAGCAGCTATGGGTGGCGCTGATTGAGAAGGCCCTGGCCAAACTCCACGGCTCCTACTTTGCCCTGCAGGCGGGGCGCGCCATCGAGGGCCTGGCCACGCTGACGGGGGCCCCCTGTGACTCCCTGATGCTGCAGGTCAGCTCCACCAACCCTCGGGAGGAGCCCATCGACACCGACCTCATCTGGGCCAAGATGCTCAGCTCCAAGGAGGCTGGGTAAGAGAGGGAGCGGGGGGGGATTAGGGTGTGAAGGAACATTGTCCTTGTTGGCTTTGCTTTTCACTAATTCTCCACCGTGTCCCTGATAAATAGCCGAATACACACATCTACAATAGATTGTCCTGGTAAAGCACAGACAAAATGATAAATAGCAAAACATCTCATTGGAAAATGAGCGGATCAACCTTCTCTAATCACAACTACAAACACTGAGGTGTTTCAAAACGACAAAGGAGCCGAGTGCCAATTAGCGGCATGTGTTTCAAATAGAAGAGGTCTGGTAGTCAGCGCTTTGATATGTGAGCTTTCAAAGCAACATGAGGCAGCTAGCACAACTCCAAATCATCTGTGGCCAAACTGCAGGTCCATCTGTCAGAACAACCTGCAGGATTATTCCATATGTCCAAAGGGGGAACAGCCCGGAAAAACATGACAACATTGGTGTACTTTACTAAACGGAGACGAGCTGCATCAGCAGAGAAGGAGCAGCAGTCACAAGCTGAAAACAGATTGATGGGGATATTTGTTTTATGTTGTTTATCTGTAACTCTGTATTGCTGCCAATTCTGAGGCTCTCCTGGTTAAATAAAGATTGAATAAGTAAGTAAACGATTAATTAACGTAATTAGCTATGCAAAAGCAGAAGAAGCTCGAAAGGTGGAGTTGTTTGTGACCCTTTTAGTTATCTTTGTTACAGGAAATAAATGGAATAAGGGAATGATTTGCAAACGTTGTGAATCTCATGTCTGTTAGGTTTCTGATGGGTGCGTCTTGTGGAGGAGGCAACATGAAGGTGGACGACGTTGTCTATGAGTCGCTGGGTCTGCGGCCTCGACACGCCTATTCCATCCTGGACGTACGAGATGTTCAGGGTTACAGGTATGAAGCCATGTGAACTAGAGGGATAGTCTCTCTCGCTCTCTCTCTCTCTCTCTCTCTCTCTCTCTCTCTCTCTCTCTCTCTCTCTCTCTCTCTCTCTCTCTCTCTCTCTCTCTCTCGCTCCTTCTAGTTCTTTCCATCATTGATGTTTCTCTTTGTACATCTATCAATCTGCTACATCTCCCTCCGTACATCGATTTCATCTAATGTAACAGAAAATATAGTCGACTTTTAAATGAAACAGTCAAATTCACCACCTGTACTTTGTCTGCATCCACATCTACAGTTTATTCACTAAAACAAATCCATGGGGTCACCTTAGCTGCATGGGAGGACATCCTATTCATTTCCTCCAAAGGCGATGTGAGGTAACTCTCCCACAGCTTGCAAAGGCATGAAACTCTCTAACAACTACGCTGGAAAACATCCGGTTCCTTGATTTACAAAGTACAAAATATAACACCGTGAGGTGAGAAATGAACCAACACTCCCACACTGCAGTTTGCAATTAATTCAATTTATTTTAGATTTTGGGTGAATCCAGCAACAAAGGGATTCCTATTTTGTTCACAGCAGAGACAAACAAGAGATTTGAATTCCCTCTCGCTTCTCCCTAACGCCGGCTGAGGCTCATGGGTATTGTAGTATTTAATTAAATACTTTATGGGAAGAAAAAAAAACCCTGATTTCTCAGAAACATCATTTAAATAATTAAAACTGGAAGCCATAACATAAACTTATTAATTCACAACATGATCCGCAGAGTGCTATGTGTCTGTGGTAACTAATCTTGAGGATGTCATAAAGAGAAATGTTTGAAATGGGAATAAGAATGCTCATCTAAGAAACATTTCCTTTAATTCCTCCTTTTTCCTTCTTTATCTCTCCTTTATGACTGTTGTAGATTTCATAGTGGAAACCAATGAATCATAAAATCTGTTCTTGCGGGTCTGTTTCATGTCTTAAAGATTGTGTTCACTCATTGAATAAGAGTATATTCATAAATAAGCATCCTAGGTTTAGAATGGATTGAGCAGAGGTGCTTGAATGGCTCATAGGTAAATGGGGCGGAGGCTTGATACCAACAGGTGCACGCCAGCTCAGTGTGATCAGCATCGTGAGTCAACACAACGGAGGGATCCTCTGTCCTACCAGCGAGAGGAGCTTGAGAGGAGCCGTAAATCCCAGATGTAATTTGCTCAAGAGTCCCACACAAGCACTTTAATTTACTGCCATAGAGCAATCCGAGTGGAAGATTGGGCCACAAGCCCTCGATCGAAAATTAGTTGGAGTCCTCCTGCTCGGAGCCGGAGGGGATGAAAAGCAGCTTGGAAACAGCCGCTCACCTGCACGGAAAGAGGGGACTCTCCAATACGGTTGTCCATTATCCCTCCTACGTTTCTCACTGTAGGGAGGATGCAGTAAAATGAAATGGGTTGTTATAAAGTAGGCAATGGTCCATAAGAGGAGCTGAGATGGGGGATACTGCATTGACTGAAAGCTGATCCTGCAGTTTGCTCTTCCTCTCCATCCATCTCCTCCTCCTCCCCAACTGTCACTCTTTGGCTTCAGGTTGTTGCGGCTGCGTAACCCGTGGGGTCGCTTCTCGTGGAACGGCAGCTGGTCGGACGAGTGGACAGAATGGCCGCAGCACCTGCGCCACGAGCTGATGGCTCACGGCAGCAGCGAGGGTGTCTTCTGGATGGAGTACAGCGACTTCATAAAGTAAGGACCACGTTTACAGAGAGATTCTGTTTGCTATTTTGGTGGTGTTTGTGTACATCTCATCTCTCTGAGAACCAGTGTTGGTCAGTGGTTTACCAAGACAGATGCAACCATAATGAAAAAATCTTTAATCCACATGGGGATCGTCTCATAAAGTAGTTCAAAGTAGCCTCTAGAGTCGACGCTGAACCGTTAAAGTGGCTTCGCAGTCAACCGCCGTGCCCACATGCTGCTGGTAATTTGAGCCGCTGTTGCTGCTAACGCTACACTTCCTGTGTTTATTCCAAACACACCACTGTTACAAATGTAAAATTCATGAACACCTGTGAGGATTTATCCCAGGGAAAGATCTACCTGGCACCAGCTGTTCAGCAAATGCCAAAGCTTTTGTTAACTGAATACAGGTGAATAATAACTCTTGAAAATGCCCTTTAATGGTGCCGTGATGGACGCCCGTAATGTGCTAAAAGTGATTAAGAGATTGACACCGAACGGAATGACGGCGTTGTTTTGTCTTTTAGTACATTGTATTTGTTTGGTGCATCGTGCACTGGTTCCCACACACACACACACAGTGGTGTTATTATGGAGTTGTGTGTGTTTTTTACGTCGGTTGCCAGGGATTTGGCAGGCAGAGGCTTATGCTTGTAATGAGTGTGAGCGTTACTATTCTGTCATATTAGATTCATCCTGTCACTCAATCACACAGAGCATCGAGTATCGACTGCTCAGTAAACACTGTTGCCTGTAACAGCTTGATTGAAAAGTACATAACAGGGAGTTGTTGCCTTGGACTGCACTCAAACATAACTGACTGAACCATAATGGTAAAAAATAATTAAAAAGTTAGAAGAGAATCCGAACACCAGCAAAAAGTTGTCTCGTGTCCCGGACCGCACTTCCCTTAGAAAAGTTTTTCTCTCCCCGTCAGCGAACATCTGATCAATGGGCGTTAGTAGGCTCGCCTACAGATAAACGATGTGTGTGTTTCATGTCCCAACGTGAAAAAAACAGTCTCTCGGGGCCTCTGTCTTCTAAAGAAGAAGGTCTGATGTGTTAGCGAGGTAAATGGTGTTTGTACCACAGCACCCTCAGAGGCTGCGCTAACGTCAAAGAGTTCCTTGTGATGCGCACAAATAGACTCGGCAGAGCAGCCGGTCAAACTGTCGGCGTCTCACGAGAGCAGCTCCTTACGCAACACTTCTCTGTTGATGCTGTATATACTGTTGTAGTAAAGAAGGCTCTATCCTCCCACAGGTACTTTGACTCGGTGGACATCTGTAAGATCCACTCAGACTGGCAGGAGGTGAGGCTGCAGGGCTGCTTCCCCAGCAAGGCCAGCGGGCCGGTCACCGTCACAGCCCTCACCGTGCTGGAGAGGACGGCGTTGGAGTTCGCTCTCTTCCAGGAGGGAAGCAGGTAAAATAGGACAGCCATAAGTCCTTTTCCTCACCACCTTTTTTTTTTTGCGCTAACCCGTTCGTCCGTCCCCCCGTGCAGGCGTTCAGACACAGCCGACAGCCACCTGCTGGACCTGTGCATCATGGTGTTTCGTGCCTCCTTCGGCAGCGGCAACAAGCTGACTCTGGGCCGCCTGCTGGCCCACAGCAAGCGGGCGGTGAAGAAGTTCGTCGGCTGCGACGTGATGCTGGAGCCGGGGGAGTACGCCGTCGTCTGCTGCGCCTTCAACCACTGGCAGATGAACGTCAGCGGGACGGGAGGTCCACCCACGCCCGGTAGGTGTTACAGACGCAACGTGCACGCTCGGTTCATCCAGACCCATGGACCCCGTTCACGATACAGTAGTAGGCACTTACCTTGACACCTGTCTCTGTCCTGCAGTCTCCAGTCCTACCAGCGGGGCAGCACGGCGGCCCAGCCAAGACTTCCCCGGCTACATCCTCGCTATCTACAGCTCCAGACAGGTGATGGTGGAGCAGGTGGAGGCGATGGCTACCACGCTGGCCGACGCCATCATCCTCCTCACGGAAAACAAGGGCGAAAGACACGAGGTGAGACACGTGTGCACACGAGAACAAGAGAATAAGCTCACTTGTCTCTGCTCCCCCCCGTCTCTCTGTCTTACACCTACACACACACACACACACACACACTGTTTGAGTATAATGCTTGTGAAGCCGGAGAACGCTTGCAACTCCGTAAGCCACTTCGAGATAACTCTTTGAGATTTCCGTAGCAGAGAACGGAATCCTATTCTTCCTCGACACATGCAATTAAATGTGCATTATCTCTCTCACACACACACACACACACACAGACGCTCACACCCAAGCAAGCAAATTGTTCTGGCTCTCCTGGACAGCGCTTTCCTGAAAGTGCTGTCTCGTTGGCTAGTATTTTAGAGGATGACAGAGCTTTTTAAACACTTGAGATCATCTTTGTTAAATCGTTCAGCACTCGAGCTCTCCAGGATATTCACCGCTCACAGTAGGTGGGCCAAGCACGTCGCGAGTGAATGCATGACAGCCGCTACTCGAACAGTAGTGTTTGAACAATATGGTTAAAAAAAAAAAAAGATAATAATTTTGTTTCAATAAGTAATTTGAGCTGTCCTGTGTTATGAAACAAGATCTTTGTGTTGCGAGCACATGCATGTGTTGCTGACAGATATCGGGTGCAGTGGGATTACTGGATGCTGTTCCTGGTCCGTAGGACAGCAGCTAAAGCAGTTTAGCTTCTCTTTTTTAAGAGTCATGCGAGCATACATCTAGCAGTCTCTCTGCTGCCTCAATAGACCAGCATGCACTGCAGCCGCAAAATATAAAAACGTCTTTCTTGCTCACATTTCTGCGTGTTTTTCGGTGTGTGTGCTCTCAGGGCCGCGAGGGCATGACGTGCTACTACCTGACCCACGGCTGGGCGGGGCTCATCGTGGTGGTGGAGAACCGCCACCCCAAATACTACCTCCACGTCTCCTGCGACTGCACCGACAGCTTCAATGTGGTGTCCACGCGCGGCAGCCTCAAGACCATAGACAGCGTACCGCCTCTGCACAGGTACACACACACACACACACACACACACACACACACACACACACGTCTTATTCTCTCTTCCTCACAGACACACAACTCTTCCAGTCTTTTTTTTTTTTTATGAAGCTATATTTCACTTAGGAAGGAAAAAAAATAACCTGAATAGATTTCAAGTGAGGAGATTAAATGCTTTGGGAACATTTGGTGCAGGTGCAGCAAACATCTGGCCCTTAAGACGATCGTATCTGTGCACACATCCACACTTCTTTAAACGCCAGTGATCCCAGAGGATTAGTGCTCCGGATTTCTTTATCTACCTTACGGCTGGTCTCAGCACAGTTAGAGCTGCCTTTGTTTTCTATTGGTCCCCATTGTTCTCTTCACATTAAAGCCAATGATTTAAAGACCTGAAAAATGTCGTGCGCTCATAGTCGCCGATGAAATTTAGCAGAGTGGAGTTGTTCACACGTTATTAGGTTTATCTGAATTTAGGTTCTTTGGACATCTACTGTGTGGATGTTTCAGGCGTACAGACTCATTTCGGCGTAGATTCATTTAAATTACGACCTTATCACCTTGAAGTTATGTCCCACACATAATGGGAAACTGTAGCAAGTCACCATGCATGAGCGCCGCGTCTTTTGATGTCATTTCCTCTCATCTATCGATTATGTCAGTTCACCCTGCTGCAATATCGCAGGCTTATTCTCCCGATGTTCTTACTCACTGGCTATTATACAATCAGTTCGCAGGTAGAAACATTTAGCAGCTTGGTAATCATATTCAGGATTCTCACTCGGGGGTACCCAGATATCGTTAAGTGTGGCTAACTGTCGCCATGTTACCTCATCTTGTTCTCTAAATAGACCGAAACAGAAAAACACTGGAGTGCTGACTGAGCACCTTGTCTTCCTCCAATCATAGCTTTGCTGAGTGGCTAATACACAGTTCCTAGATCAGTGGCATACTTAAGGACCAAACTACTTATATTTATTTTGATTGATTGGAATACGGAGTGGGGGGGTAAGTATTGGTGGGCTCTAGTCCCTCAGCAGCTGCAGACCTGTTATCTGTTCCTGATTCACCCTTTAGTTAACTCTAATAACTGTTTATTCAGCAGCTCTTTATAAAAAAGGCTGTATTTTTCCCCATAAATATATTATTTGAATATATTAAAGAGGGGGCGGGGGGTCTGAAGATACTATACATTTCGCTAAGGAGGGTCTTGTTTTTTTATAAAATTAAATATAGGATTTAGCCCTCCTCCTCAGACAAGTCATTTCCATACAGTCCCTTACTTCACCTCACCACACAATACACAATGCACAGCATGAAAATACCACATTTGTATTCAGAATGGTCACCGTGTGCTACAGAGGCCTTGAACTATAACTGCTCCATGTTTTTATTCCCATACGCTCTCTGTCTCCCCCTGCAGGCAGGTGCTGGTGGTGCTGTCACAGCTGGAAGGCAACGCCGGCTTCTCCATCACCCACCGCCTGGCTCACCGCAAGGCGGCCCAGGCCTCCCTGGGAGACTGGACCCCCACCAAGGCCACCCACTGCCCCCAGCTCACTCCGGACATTGACGGCCTGCACCGGCCCCGGCCGCTATGACCACCGCCCACCGTCTCGCACACACACGCTGACTATTATCCAATGAACTGTCAGACCACTGGAAAAACCAGGCAAGGGAGGGCGAGTGGCGTGTGCGGCCCTGAAACGTGGAGAACACGCACACCTGAATGTAAAGCATAACCGGGCCGCGTCCATCCGCTGTCCTCCTAATGCTCCATAAATGCTTTCATCCGGTCGCTCTCTCCCTTGCCAAACGGATGTGCCATGTCAGGATGAAATGAGGGAACAGGCCACACGGGGTGACCTGCACTTACTCGCAAAACAATTTTTCCCCCGGGCCACCTAACAGGATCCAGCTCAGACTACTTAAAATTCTGGGTGTTTTTTTTTTTTTTTTGTTTGTTTTCTGGTACGAGCGCTGTACGAGGAAGGGATGTCATCCCTGAGTTACGAATGCTTGGAGACGACCCTGCTTTACTGAGCCATTTTGCCGGCCCACAAACTTTGAGCCAATCACCCGCAGCGATCAGACACTTGTCCCTGTGTCGCCCGCAAGAACGGCGAACAAGGCAGCAAACTTCAGGGGGAGTTAATCTCGCCTAGCCCTCAGTACGGTACTTAATGAGCCAAAACCCCCATACTCTAGTTTTACTCACAGTCCTACATGTTTTTCTATTCAATACACGTCAGTCTTACTTGTTTTGTACACGGCCCTTGTTAGCGTCTTGCTCATATTTGTGTGTTGTTTTTTTTGAGGCCGTAGAGAAGCCATCATTCACACAGTACTGTCTGTCCCCACTCTCCATCATCTCCGCAGTGCTGTCCAGCTCTCTCTCTCACTCTCTCTCTCTCTCTCTCTCGCTCAGGACCAAACCCGTGATTTGTAGAGTGAGCTGGGAGTCTGACGTTGCAGGTGTACGGTGCCCAGATAGCTGGAACATCATCTTTCCGGAAACACTTAGCAGCCAGGCCGCTCCGGAGAGAAATACCGACACATAATAGAAGTCCCTTCCTAGTGTTTCAATAGACTAACATACAATTTGGCCTTGTTTCCCTTCAGAGAAACAACCACTGTAGCTCCTTTTTTTTTCTTTCCCTGTCTCTCGCATAATTCATTTTCACTCGGCCTCAGTTTGGGGTCGAAGCGCTGGAGGCGAGTCATTACATGACCGGCTTTGTAGTTCACCCCTCGGGCACCCTGGCTTTTCTCATCCAGATCGGCAGTCAGTTTATATCTTCACACATAAATTCACGCTTTGGGAGCAACTCTCCTCTCCAGACGCTAGACAGACTGAATTAATGCGGCTTTCTCGCATTCTCTCTCGGATTGCGACACCCTGGAAAGTTGTGTCTGATCTTCCTTGGTACCGAAGGTCAGTGAGTATTTGTCTATTTTATCACACTCTGCCAGTGTTTTGAGTTACACTTTAGTGTACTTGGGGAGCACCAGAGGAGCCAGTGGCTGTTTGAGCAGTCAGTCTGCCGTCGGGGAGCTCTTACGCTGAGCTGCCGAGTTTACTTTTGGGAGGTCAGGGACCGTCTTTTGTTTGCTCGGGAGCGGCGCGAGCATCTGGGCCGTCCTCCCACAAGGCTACACCGACCGCACGTCGGCGACAGCACAAGGCGCTCGTGTAATAACAAATTAGCATTTTGTCAGTCCGCTTGCACCCGTAGCAGGAGCGTAAAGGGACCCCTGAGACATGTTGTGACACAGAAAATAGTTGCGTCTGCGTCGTTTCACAGGATGGGTTGCCTACAGCCCGCCCCGCTTCTTTCTGTTCCAGTTCCTCCAGCGTCAAAGCCATTACTCCTACGTCACGTAGGACCTTTCAGTCCTCACCATGGCAACATAGATGTTTTATCAGAGAGAAGCGGGAAGACTGACGCGCTACTATAGTAACGGGATGGAGTGGGAGACTTGTTGATGTATTGTGTCGTGAAATAAGGGGAGGAAAAAACTTGAAAGCTGATAAGCAAAATCGCAGGAGCATTCACACACTGATTGATTGTCGGGTAGAGAAAATTGCTCTTTTTTTTTATGTCAAGTTCATTTTGAGTTTAAACATTTAAAAGTCCCCACATGAGATGATTCAGTTGACGACTTAAGCTCAGCAGCCTTGAGTTGAGAAAGTGCTGACATCTCACGAGCGTGCCGTCGGTAGCGTTGGTGGTAAATGGCAGCACCGTGGTCCCCCGGACGCTTGCCGTCTTTTACTTATTCTGCACAACCACGACTGATCATCTGCACTTCAGCACCAGGACAGCTCGCGAGAATAAGAACACACTGCCACACCGCTGTGAAACCTGAAGCTGAGGTCGCTGTAAATATGTTTTCCAAAGAAACATGATGTGTAATGACGCCCCGTCTGATCACAGGCTGTGACCTTTTTAATTTATTTGTACAAGTGATTTTGCAGGCCTGTCGTCAAATGACTATTGCGGAATACTGGACTGTATGTATGACAGATAAAGGAATGTGATACTGTTACGGCTTTAGTCTGAGCCCAGAGGGATTAGAAATGAACCTGCACTGAATCACCTGCAATGACGAGGCACCTCAAAATCCAGCGTCGCCGCTGGATCACTTTACATTTACATGAGATTGTTTTTTTTGCTTTTATTTATTTTTTTTTTTTTACTATGTGTCATTTTTTGGCTCTTGCTGGTGTCCTTGGAACCTCCTCCTCTTCTGTGAAGTTGTGGCGGTGACTCCTCTGTGTGTCGGGGGCGCCCCCTGCTGCTGGAGAGGCTGCAGCCATGAGAAAAAGCGGGTCGCCTTCTTCCTCTCCTCTCCCCTTCTTCCTCTCCTCTCCCCTTCTTCCTCTCCTCTCCTCTCCCCTTAGTCTGGTTCCCTCCTTGTAAAGTGTACAGACTGCAAAACTAAAGCCACAGATCAGATAGAAATGAACTGACCCTTTTAAAGTTGTAAAAAAAAAGAAAGTACGATAGAAACAAAACAATGAAAACCTAATGCTGAAAAAAATCAATCTCAGATGAATGTGATATATATTTTATTGATTTTTTTCTGGGATGGGAATATGAGTATATGTGTACAAACATATGTATGTTTAATTTTCAATCTCAGGTTCCGGTGGACCAAATAAATCTTTTTTAAATTAAGGCAACTTGTCATTATTGTGAACATGGTGTTTCTCCACATGCAAATCTCCATTTACTTTACATCAGCAGAGGCTTTTATAGTTTGTGACTCGTCGGAGCAGTAATTTGTTTTGATGTGTTCTCTGTTCAGGCTTTTGTTTTCGATGAAGAGGAAGTCAGAGCTTTCAAGCTGTAAATATTGAAGTGGAAAAACAATCTGATGAAAGGATCATGTATTTGCATATAAAACACGTGGACTCGTTTACAGCACTATGATGTGTTTATCATTGCTTCCTGTTGGCTCTTCATTTCTCATTCTTGGACTCCCTTCCAGAAGACTTAAGCTAAACATCACTGGTATCTTGTGTTTATGTGTCCTTTCCCTGTTTCAGTCTCCACCCCCCTCACTCGTCAGTCCCCCAGCCCACCCCCTGGCTGCTTCCCCAAACTTTGCCTCCGTGGTGGTAAGTTTATCCCTGACCCAGCGAAGGCTCCAAGACGTGGTGACGTCCAGCATAAGCTGCCGTCGATCACTTTCTTCCACCGAGAACACTCTGAATCATCTAGAAGGCTCTCTGCTCGTCTGGAACCAAAGGTATGGCTGCTAAATGATCTGTCCGTCTCTTTAGTCTGGAGTGCACCGAGGCAGGGTGAAAATGTGATAACGCTGTAGCCAGATAGTGAGCGGAGAGACTTTGCATGCTAAAAAACTCAACACTGTCACGGTCAGAAATGTGAGGAGGGATGAACAGAAGAAAAAAGAGAAAAAGCATTTGTTGTGTAAATTAAGAATAGAGTTTCATTGCTGCAAGCCACGTGGAACACAATGTACAGACCAAATATAAATGTCATTCCATGGAGCATATTGAAGACATACAGTACATGAAGTCTTGGATGTTCATAAAATCTAAAGAAAGATTCTCGGAGCTAACAGGAGTGCCACCACCAGGTGATCACATGTCTCTCCCCTCCCCCACATTTCACCACATCTCAGGCCCAGGAAATCTAACCTGACATGCAAGTATAGAAGCTTATGGGGGCGGCTGTGGCTGAGTGCTGGAGCAGGCTCGTTCTTCAGAGGTTCGATCCCCAGCCCTGCTATTCCATGTCGACGTGTCCTCGGGCAAGACACTTCACCCCAAATGACTCGGTTTATGAGTGGAATGATCAGTTAGGGTCCTGATGGGCAGGTGGCACCTTGCATGGTAGCCCCTGCCATCAGTGTATGAATGGGTGAATGACGTGTACGGCTATACAAGTACAGTTACCAACGCAGGATTGTTTCTGTCAAGGGCAGAGGCGTGATGGCACAGCTCAGGGAACATGCCCGATGCAGCCTCGGCCTGTCTGAGAATCTGGGTGATCCTCGTGTCATGAGAGCCTCTGTCGTCAGGGCCATGGAGCCAGAGTGTATGAGTGAGAGACTGCATTTTAAAGTCCATTGTATCTATGTTGAGACAAGATCAGCTTAGAGAACAGGAATCTGTACTGTGTCGGTTTATGTATAGCCCACTGTTGCTTGGGGAAAAGTTTGTATCCTTGGAAAGAGTCTAACTTGACAATCTGCAGCAGCTTACTTTGTTATTTATTGTGTTTTTCTTTTTTTGTTGTGTGTATGCTATCATCGGTTCTGAAATAGCTTTTGTGGGTCCTGGCAGCAGTGATGTATTATCAGGAGGAGCATTTCAAACCCTGTCTGGAGTCTTCTAATAGCAGAGCAACTCTTTGTGTGTCAGTGCAGTGTGTTACTTGGTTGTCAGGGCGCATAGAACAAATAGCTCGGTGAGCTTGGGACTGTATGTTCTTCCGCCAGAGCCAACATTTCCAGCCCTGCTTCTTCTCATTTGTCAGCGCAAGCTCTTGGGTTCGGGGGGGGGGGTCCCTGTCCCTGTCCCTGTCCCTGACATCCCACTGACTCCTCTTTGTGTCCGTCAGTAAGCCCACAAACCGATGGATTTGATGTTTTACAATGTCAAAGGGGTGCTGTGTTCTTTCAGGTAGCTGTGAGAAACACGATCCAGGTCCACGACGACGTGTCTCAATGAGATTACCTGTATAAATGAAGGTGAAATACAAAAAAATATATAATAAAATAAAAATGTAATACTTCATTCTTCTTCTGGTGGAAATTAAAGGCCACAACATGACGTCCCAGATCCCAGCGCCCCCACAGCCTGACACTCCGAGGACTGACAGCGTCTTCTCCATCCTGTCTGGGTTCTACTCTCTGGACTCCGGTGTTCCTGGGCTCTCTAAGGTGATTCTCAACAAGCTCAACATGAAGGATTACGGAGAATACAGGTAAAAACTGCCGATGCTAACTTACATCCACCAGTATTGTAAGCCCAGCTGTGTTGTTAATGCTCTGTTTCATTTTTCACCAGTCTTTGATTAGTTTCTATGGCATTTACTGTACGTGATAAGTTACCCTTCCTCGATATGTTACTTCTAACCCGCCATTGAACATGAGTCGGGCTTGACAAGTTAAGTGTCTGATCTCTAATAAGGGCTGCTGTTGGGGGAAAGGCCAAAGGCATCTCGTTCCGCAACTACAAGGAGATGTTCAAGAAGATGGAGGAGACCTTCGAGTTTTGCACCAGCTGCAAAAAACTCCCAGCGCATCTCACCGAGGGTCAGACCCTGAAACGCTGCGTTAAGTAAGTGCTATGTACATCAACATCAACACAGAATAAAGGGTTAACAACAGCGTTGACAATCAGAATATTTCAGGCCACTGAAAAGCTACACTGTTCTCAAATCAGCTGGATCCTCACCCGGTCAGAACGTTTGTCCAATAGCTGTCATGTGTGAATCATTACCAGTAGCTGTTGTGTCAGCGACAGAATGGTAGCCCCCCCCACCCGCCGAGGTGTGGAACGCTCCACAGAGATGGACATTGGCCAATGGCAAATATAGCTAAATCCCCTGATTGTGTTTCATATGCAGCCTACGAAGAGCAGCAGTTCATAACGTCACAACATCACAGAGCGTATGTCAAGGAGTGTGTTGACAATAAGGAGTGGAGTACGGCACGCTTTCTTCTGGCTCTCTGCGTCTCTATCGCTCTCCCACTGAATCACACACACACACACACACACACACACACACACACACACACACACAC